CCCCCCCCCCCCCCCCCCCCCTCCCCCCCCGTACCGCTCCCTTGGTTGGTTTGTTGAGAGCAAGCAATCCATCTGATGGGAGCCGACTTCGTTTCGTGTTCACGGGCTAGGACACACAGCCAGCGCTCAAGGGGAAATACGACAGCGGTAACTCTACTCGAGCAGAATCCACCCCTTCCGTGTCCTGCGCAGCCGCCTGCGATCAACCCCGTCTTTTTTTCGCGATTTTCTTCCCTTGGCACGGCACGCAACAAGGTGATGTCGGGAGGGGCGGCGAACGCGTTCTGCTGCGTCCGTCCTCCCGGGCACCACGCCGAGCCGGACAGGGCAATGGGTTTCTGCTTCTTCAATAACGCCCCCATTGGTGCCCTCCACGCGAAGGCAAGTCGGGCTTTGAACACCTCGAAGTAGAAGCCGCCATCGGTGCTACCCTTGAGTGCTGGTACATGAGTCGTTGGGTCTGGTGGTGGTGTTTGTCTCTTTCGTTCGTGGAATTGATCGGCGACGATAGTCATCGGTGTCGTCTTTACCGATCGGCGCCCTCCATGTCCGCGGTCGAGTCAACGCCTCACCTTTAATACACTACGTTGTTATTCTTTTGTATCTCGTGAGGACTGCTTTCGATCTAGGCTTGTCCTCCGTAGGCGGTGTTTTTTTAAGATTTAGACACAACACCTCTTTGTTCCAATTTTTTTTTTGTATTACAATGCAAACCGACAAAAAAAAAGCCTAAGGCCATAGCCTACGGAGGACAAGTCTATTCGATCGCTGCGGTCGTCGTAGGCGGCGTGTTTGACCGTCGGTGCCCTCCCTCCACGCGCGCAGGCGAGCAGACCTCAGCGGGAGCAGCGCTCGTACCGCTTACAGCAAGTGACCGCCGTTTCCGAGAAAATATGTGTCTGGGCGACTCACCCCGAGTGTCGTCGTTGTTGCTGTCGGGCGAAGTGAATACGGCGTTGCTGCCGATAGCCCCTCGGACTGCCCACCGCCGTCCCCCGTGCGAAAAAAAGCGGAAAAGAAAAGGTGGGAAAATGTTTCGCAATCATCACACCAGGCCATGTTTTACAACCATTCGGACCCCTGTTCGTTTTTCTTTTGTTGGTGGTGCAACAGGCGGCGCACGGCATCGAACGCGTTGCGGTGGTCGACATCGACGTTCACCACGGGAACGGTACCCAGGCGCTGTTCGAGGAGGACCCCACGACGTTCTACGCCTCCACCCACCAGGTATGTCGGTGCATGCATGGTGTGTGTGCCTTAGTTTTTTTGGCATCGACCCGCTGACCGGCTGGCCAATGAGAAGACGTCAGTCTCAGTGCGTATGAAAACAGAAAATGCCTCGAACGGATACCATGATATCTGGGACCCCGCGAGGGGGCGTCATGGGAGTTTATGTGTGTGTGTGCAAGAAATAGGCCGCCGCGGAGACTGAGGCAACGAGGTTCCTGGTGTTTTCTTGGCAAGGTGTTCGGTGTTCGTGGCTTGTCGGTCCCCTTGGTCACCAGGATTGGAGGCCCTGTTTTCCGGCGAGACTCGAATGCCTTGTTGTGATGTCGGCAAGGCTGAGCACCGGCGCTTGATTGGGGGTGCACGTAGCAGTACGCGCCCGCCCGCACCCGAGCGTAGAGTTTGCGATTGTTGTCAAGGAAGGCCAAGAAGACGTTCCTTGGCTCATTACGCAAGTTTTACGTCTCATGAGTGGGCAGAAACTCATGCTGTCGTTCATGTCTCGGTCTTCAAGTCTTGCGTCTCGTGTATCTGACAAACTACTGTAGGTGCGTGTTGATGAATTTCGACATGTTTTGTTTTTTCTGTGTTGGCGAGTGGGCCGGCGGCGCTGTTGCACAGTAACAGTTGTCGTACGGTACTGCTGTCATCGTGGTTCCTTGGGATGAAACAGCGGCAGTGGCGGGGGGGGGGGTAGAGGGGGTACGACAGGGAGAGTGTAATTCCTCCACCGAACGATAGTGAAGGTACAGGCAGGCGTTCGCTTGTCTAGTCTTGGTGCCCAACCCGCAGCCCTAGCCCCGCCAAGGTAGCCGCTTCCCTACATGATATCACCGGCAGCGAAAGCAGCAAAGTTGTCGCAACCAACAACCATGCCCCCTCCATCCAGTATCACTCCGCATTCGCTCTTCCCTGTTGCGCCTGCTGGAGATGCAACTGTTCCCGAGAGTGACCCCCGTATTTTGTAACACATTACTTATTTTTTGTCAAGTCTCGCGTTGCCTCAAGCGCGCCCCCCCCCCCCCCTCCGCTCTGCAGGGCCCCGAGTTTTATCCCGGTACCGGGTTCGACGACATCACGGGGGTTCAGAGCAACATTGTCAACGTCAGCATGGGAGACGGAGAAGGTTCCGGTGGATTCCGCACGGCGTACACGGAGAAGATTCTGCCCGCTCTGGAAGGGTTTCGACCAGGCCTGATCGTGATTTCTGCAGGTAGGGTGGGGCGTGGTGGTGGGACGGCTCGACGCGGTAGACTGCTGCACTGATAATGATTTCTGCAGGCAGGAAGGGTGAGGCGTGGCGCGGCGGTTTAAGGGCAGTCGCGGCAGGACGTTCTCGGCGTGGTAGGTAGACTGATTCTGTACGCCGGCACCGAATGCCGTGGAAGACTGGGATGCGGTGTCGGGCTGTCATTTGCTTCGGTACTGCGCTGGCCCCCAAGGTCGCCGTGACGCGCTGTGCCATTTTTGTTTGATGCTGCTGTTGGTCGTGTTTATCGCTCGAACGGCGTCAATTCTTCGTTGTTTGGGCGAGGTAGAGACCGGTGTGCCACGGACAAGGCTTGAGGGCGAAAATCGGGGGGCGAAATGACACCGCCAGTTTTTTTCTTTGAGACATTGCGCTTACAATTGTCTCTCCAAGTACATAAGTCTCAGGGATTAGCGTGTACAACCCGTATGCGACTCACCCGAGATTGGTTACTTCCTCATCGTTAGGGTTAGGTTTAGTGCTGGCTGTGAGCCCCTGAAGCGCATATTGTAAACTGGGGTAGGCGTAACAAGAGTTAACACGGTTCCAGCGGGCGTGAAATCTAAGGATATTCTTAAATCGTTTCTCATGGCGAGAGTCTTGCGTTTCTACCGTAGATGAGGGAGAGATCACGCGGGCGTCCGGCCCTGTTTTTCTTTCTGTAAAGCTGGAAAAATGGTTGATCAACAGCCAGGTCTAAGAGACGCGTTTGTTTTGCGCACCTAGACCCAGTTCTAAGTTTACTCGAGCATTACCAACTAAATGCAACAGGTTTCTCCTGTGGGGCGAGGACAAAAGCATGCCGGTGAAAGAAACATCAGGTTGGGTGCTTATCCAAACTCAAGGTCATTTTTTCTTGTTGTGTTGCAATACCTTGCTCCTGCAGGAAACCCTCTTGCTCATCGTATGCAATTTGCTAGATGGGGTGCATGCCGCTCCAGTTTACACCCTCCAAGTCAAGGAGACGGTGTTGCAGGTGCCCTACTACATACCGCCCAATCGCTTACAAGCGTTTGCCGAACCGCTCGTTTGTTGCAAGTAGTGTGGCCCGCCCGAAAAAGTGTTGTGCTTCGCAGTCCACGCCATTGTTGCTTACCCCATCCCCATTCGCCCAAACAATGCCCAGCAACATGCGCGGGGCCAAGAAAGAGTTGCACATGATAGAACTTGGCGAGCGGAAGCTGACCTCGACAAGAGCTGGCACCGGCGCTCCCGCTTGCAGTACCGAGAAAGTCCGTTTGAGACCCGCGATCTGCGGGGTGTCGCAAGCGGCAGCTATGACAGCCAATGGCGAACACGTCAGCATTGGCTGT